TTGCAATGAATATTAATCTTTCTATGCACACACACACACACACACACACGCGTGCGCACACACACACACACTCACACACACGCACACACACATTTTGGTGTACAACTACTTTTATCTTAGTAAAATTTTAGAGTCTTTTTGCCCTCTAGGGGTCCTTTTGAAATGTTAAAGTTCAAACTAATTGCAGAATGGATGAATCCTTTTGTACAAACAATAGGCTTTAATTAAACGTTGACGTAGCTACAGCTTAATAGGTTGCTATGCCTTAGAAGAAGAAAGGTTTGAAGGAGCAGCGTTTCATCTCTTCCTCCTGAGGTGAAAAATGTTCTCTCGGAGCCCACACGACGGTAGGCCTCTCCCCAGAGTTCATTAATTAGTTAATTAGTTAATTAGTCAGAACAGATGGCTATGCAACACAAATCAGAAGGCTCCTCCGGCACAGGGCAGGAGGAAGGTGAGCCGCGACGCCATGGAGGGGGAAAAAATCTACTGTCACTAACCTCTGAACCAGCAGACATTTTCTAACCACTCACCCATTTTACTCCACTATATCCAGCCTCTGATAAATTCATGAGGCTATCTGGAGAAGGGCTATAGCATGCTAACATATGTACCAGTGGAGTGAGAGCATAAAAGGCTGCAGGAGTTATTTGAATGAATACTTAGCATCAGAGCCGATTTCAAAAAGCATTTCTGACGGTTTATTTTTAGCCCGTTCCCATCTCCCCCCTTCTGCTCTCTTTTTGCCTCCGTCTCTGCACCGTTCTCCCTCATCCGTCTCTATTCCGTGCTCCCTTCGTCTTATTCCTGACTCCTGATCAGTCTCTTAAAGGCACAGGCAGCCAAAGTACTACGGTTTTATCTGCAAGAACAGTCATTACAATCTGTACAGTAATAGTCATAATCACACTATCACACTTTTTAACAATCGAGTCTTATCACATGTAAACACCACTAGAAAGGCAGCAAACACAATTTATTATTAAAAGTAATATTTCCAAATTTGATATTGTTATACAAATACAGTATCACAAAATAAAAAGACCATGCATTCCAAGTCTCTTCTTTGCAAGATAACAACAGTTATATCTTGTGAGTTTGTAATACAGTGCTGCTTGAAGGTGTAAAATGACACACAATAGACAGATGACACCCTTCTTAAGTTTTGTTAACAACCATTAAAAAGATGAAACCCACATTTGTTTTGTTTTTTTTAACTATATTCTTGTTAAAGATGAGCAATGTAATTTTTCTGGAGTGGGCCTGGTATCTGCAGTTTGGCATTAAAATTACCTAACTGCCTATCTTGCCTTTATTAAATTGCAGCTATTTTATTGCTCAAAATTCCCAAGAAAAACATGTATTCTTACAGTGAGTAAACTTGCCTCTCAACAGATATGACCTGTAACTTGGTCTGATGGCATCACCTACTCCATCGAGTTAGATGTGTTAAATATCATACTGAGTAACATTCTAGGCAAACCAATAATATAAGGGAACAATTTTTTGATTGAGACTCCATCACCTGCTTGTTTCTATGGAGATCTCACTCCTCTAGCATGTTCCGTAGTCTGACATTAAACAGTTCTACCTTACATTTATTAAATTATAGGTGGTTTTATAGCTCAGAAACCCCTACTAAAATAGGCATTCTGACTGTGAGCAGGGTTTCCTCTCCACAGATCTGACATGTAACTTGTCTCCATGATTAATACCATACTGTGAAACATTCCAGACAAAGCATCTCCACAGAAATAAGCATTCCTCCACCAGAAAATGTACAGGTATAGGTATAGGTACAGGTTAAGGTATAGTATCCTAACATTTCTGGTACAAACATGGGAAATCTCAAAGTCCAAGAAGGATGCTGTTAAACATTCACATGGATAGTGCATTATTTATGTATGATTTACGCATCCATGCAGCACATCAAGACTATTACACATGCACGTGCAGCAATTAGCCTGCACACGGAAAAAATATGCAGGTTTATGGGACATGACATACATAGCAATAGCATACAAGCTTCATCTGCTTAATACAGTAACCCCTTTAGTGCCTATATCTGTACAAGAGGGTGTGCATGTTTTCACCCACACATTAAACTGTATCAAGACTTTTAAAGAATCGAGGACACTGCATCATCTTCTATAATCACTCAGCAGGATCACTCTCCACCTCTATTTATATACAGTGTGTGTTTTTGAGACGCTATGCAAAAGCTCTCATATAGTTACTAATGCATGTGAGAGCAGCGCAAATGTTAATGTGAACCCCTCTCAATATGGATCAGTCCGGATTAAAAGATGCATTCAAGATTTCACTCAAAGCTGCTGGATTTAAATGTGACAGGGAGTTTACCAAACAAGATTTTAAATTAGCATAAGATGGGATGAAATGATTTGATTTGTAGGGTAAATATCCTTTTTTAACCATGCCACTATAGGGCAACCTGTACCCCCATGAGAACACAGGAACAATATAAATAGAAGGCCCTGTGTGGGAACGATCCTGTCTCAACCTTCTTGCAGTGAGGTGAAAGTGCTAACCACTCAGCCACTGTGCCAACACCATTATGTACATACAGTACATGTAAATAAAAAAGCTCAAATAAATTCCATAACATTAGATTGTCCAAATATATTGTATAATGGAAGACATTTGATTAACAGCTCGATCTCATAATACACATGTTCTGCGTGTAATTTATATAAACACACTTTTGGATGAATAATGAATCATCATCAAAAAGGGGCAGTACCAATAGACAAAAAAAAAACCTAGAGGGCTAATGTAATTAAAACACATCTAAGAACGAAAGAAAGTGGTTCATACAGTCTGCCAAATTTCAGAAGCAAAAGTGTGTTTCACCAGATTTTGCCATGCACAAATAATAACCAGATGTGCACCTTAACAAGTCTGCCAAACCATTAGGTGATACTTTCCAGTTCATTAGCTGACTGGCACAGAGATCCATGTGGTTTGTTAAGAGCGTCAATATTGCTGTAAAACACGTCATAGAGCACACAATAATGACCCTCTCAGTCAAATATTTATAGTTTCATTTAAAACTAGATGTGATTACCTCACAAATATCACATGCATTACAGGTGCAGTCTGCATCACTACCTCACAGACTAGTGTGTCCTGGCATTGTCAATACGGCTCTGGATCATGTTACCCTTCGCCACAGCACTTGGATGACATCCTACATGACTCTCATTTCACTGTTTATTGTTATTCTGATATGTTGAAACAGACCTGATGCAATAAACAAGATTTGATTACCTAACCTGGCAACCGCAATGACTGTCGGAGATAGTGTGTATGCAAGCACCTCCAAAAGTTCACAGTCAGTGCAAATACTTGAACTCCACTGATTTTTGGTGCACAGGAGTACACATACACACATATACACATACACACATATACACAAACACACATGTACACATAGTTGGAAGTCACACACACAAAACTCTGACACAGAATGGACAAACAGAGATCCCCTTAATCCTGACATACACTGTCAGCCAACAGGCACATTGTAGTCCTGCTTTCTGACGTGTGCATAAACAGAATACTTCAGTCTATTTAGTTGAGTTACAATGTATTCACACGTTCACAAAGTCCTACAGCAACAATTTCACTTTACTTTTAGATGTCACATGCACCTGGACCCTGGCCTGCCAGAGTCCTTGCAGTATCAATGCGTCTGGTAGATGTTTCTATCAATTCAGTTTCTTCTGCAGCCAAGGCGAACGAACAAGGAGAAACTATTTAGACAAGTGCAGACTTGAGGTTAACATTGAGACACAAAACATTAAGTTAATTGTTTTTTTATACAGTTTATTTAATACATTTATTTTCTGATCTTCTTTAACTGAATGGAGAACTGTTCTTCACAGTTGTGAGAACATACTGTCACCATCTTGATTTTTGAAGAAAGAGCCTCTGTCAATCAGCTTGCCCACTTCAAACCAGACAGCCAATTGACTCATTGTCATTCATAAGGGGGTACATTAGCACCGATACACCTAGAAATGCATGTCTTCAGAACCAGAGAACATCCCTGGTTACTTATCTATTATAAATAAACAAGATATGGGGCATATACAGTATGCATGTTTCCCATCTGTATGTTGCTTTAAAGACTCTGACAAAATATTTTGACATTAATGACAAACATACAAATAAAAGGTGTTTCTCAGGGAGCTTTTGTACACAGAACAAACATGGCATAACGTGACATGAATGTTTTATTTTGAGTAATCTGTGTGTATCATTTTTTATCACTGTGCGTTTATGATGAATTGTGCATTCATGTATGTCATGTGCAGCTATATTTAATGCCTAAAGGGAATAGGGAAGCACTTACATCCTCTGATCTGTTGCATCAGTTGTGAAAGCTTACAACAGTCACTATTGGTTGCCACAACTCAAAAATACATGATCATCCAGAATAGACATGTGTAATTGTGTGCATGTGGACAATTCCATTCTCTATAGTAGTGAAATGAGAGAGATAAGATTTGTTCAGAGCTCAACTCTAAAGACTATTTTGAGACAGTATGACCCATGCAATAGAGACAGATACAATCATTATTGGAATGGACAAGATCTCATGATCTCATGATATAATAATGCCATTCTTGTCCTAGTAACAGAGACATGATTTTAATTTAATTTGCCATCAGGCTGCAAGCAATATAAATGACATTAGACAACAGATGTCTGCAGCTTTTAGTGAAAAGAATTTTAAATAAATAAATGCATTTATTCATTTATTATAGCTTCTTCAGTTTAATTTGACAAGGGAGTTGTATCTCGTTTTACTCCTAAATTTTCCTAAGCTACACATGCCCACATTCTTACATGATAGAAATAATACAACCCCAGGCCTCTATTATTTGAATCATTTTTATGTTTTGGAGAAATGCTATCGGATGGGGGTTAATATTTACTACTCCCTAAAAGTGTCTGGCAGAGGTGATGTGACTTACCGAGCACGCCAAGACGGTAGTTCATGGTGACAACAATTTCCATAGGCGGCCAATATACTGCCATCGAACATGTTCCCTGAGCCCTCCATGTACGAGCCTCCGTGGATGAACAGCATCACTGGCTTCTTACGACGGTCACGGATATCTGCGGCACACAAACAAACAAGGAATACATTTAACAAAGTTTAATCCTGGGGAACAAGTTGTACTGTACTTAATTGGTGCAAAGTGAAAAGTCCCTAAGTGAGAGCCATGCATACTACAGAGTCTGATGCTACTTAATATTATTAAGTCTCATAAGGGTCACATGACTGCTTCCCATTGCGTTTGTAATTATAAAAAGGCACAGAAATGTAATGCAGAGAAAATGTGGACCATTACATAACTGTCCACAGACAAGTGTAACAATGTGCAATAATGTTGAAAATGTCTCCTTTGGTTGAGTTAGCATGTGCTGCAACAATGCTGCTGTAATTGTCAGAAATCGTATTTTTGGTTGTCACCTAGAAAAAAGCTGTCTCTTTCTCTGTAAATTATGTCATAACAAGGTTCAAATATATAAATGTGAGCACATACTAAAAACGCTGTTTAATAAGGCAAATTTAATAGAATAGGGAAATTTGTTTCTGTGCATTTGACCCATTCGTCAATTTGCTAAGGCCCCCAGTCAGAGGGGACCTGCACTGGGTGACCACAGTAAAGAGCCATGTAATGATTTGGGACTAAATCTATTCAGAACTACTTTATTGAAGGATCAGTCTATTGTATTAGGGTGATGTGGAAAACTGCACAACCCAGAGGAAACCCACCCAGACATGCAGACATCATGTAAACTACACATAGAACAGACCTGGTGTGGGAATTTAACACGGGACCTTCGGCTATGAAATGGGAGATATAGATATATACTCAGCCACTGGCATCAAACTGTAATTAAACAATACATCATTGAAATGATAGGTAGTATGACTGTTTCAAGTTTATGCCACACAGTATCGCCCTCTTCATTATCCCTGTATGTACTGTATCTAACAGGAGCAGAGGAGTAGGTCCCTTTGCCCTGTGTGTTCCTGGCGTCCCGGCCATCTTTGTGTTGCTATGGCAGTCTCCGGCAGCCCCCCTGCTCCCCCACGCAGTGTCTGTGCTCAGCTCGTCCTGTCTGTGCGTGGATGGGGCTTGGTGAGCTGCCAGTGTGCAGCCCAGTTAGGCTGATCGTCGGCACTGTGCACGGCCTGTGGATAATTTGTATGAAAGCCAGACCAAGTGGAAACATAAATAACAGCCCCAGCATCTGTTTACCCTGATGAGCCTCAGCACTCGGAGATGGAGGAGACAGAGATAGGGGGAGAGAGAGATAAAAAGGTAGCGGATGAAACTAGGCCAGCGTGAGACAACCGGCAAGGCTAGAGACACGAAGGGGAGGTTCAAACAAAAAAAGATGAAAAACATACCAAATGTTACAAAGCAAGTCATACATAGCAAGGTACGCTAATGAACACTCAACTCACACCGGAGTCACACACGACATTCACGCAGCACGCACACACAAACTCTTGCATAGGCAGCTGCGATGCCGAGTCGCTATGGAAACTGCCTAATAGAACTGCACCAGCCATTCCGTCGCACCGACTCACTGAACGCCTGTTGCCCTGGTAACAAATTCTACTCACGTATTTGCACAAGGCGCCTGCATCACCACCTGAATCTCAGGTTACACATGCAGTATAGGGTGCGTCACTCCGTCAGAAGCAGCGGACAGGATGAGAGGAGCAGAGCATATGCCCACATACGCTGCCATCCATTCATGTTGGGCATGTATGACATAGATGCTGTGTAAAAATAACGCTTTTGTGTCGTACATCTGACGTGCCGCCTCCTCCGGTGGATGGAGAGCCGATGCTGATTTCCCCAAGGATATGTAAAAACAAGTTCAATTATCCCTGCATTACCATGACAGTATAGATGGGTGACATATCAGAGGGTCGCCTTGAACCGCACTCACCGTACTCATGGCACTAAATGAATCCACAGGGAGGGACAGAGTTTATAGACAAATGCAACCTACTTTGTCAATGACATTTAAAGGATTAATCTTATTTAACAGCACCTGTATTTTTCTTACATTCATTAGGACATGTTTTATTAACAGTCTGAACTATAACTGTGTGCATTTGATTCACAAATGGTGAATGACTTTTATGTCATACTGCGCATAGTATAGCATCTATATATACTGTATATTTTATTGGAACCAGAATGTATGACATCTTTGGATTTTTTAAATCAAGCATTGTATGTATAAAGGCATCCTATGCAACTTTTCTGGTAGAGGGTCTGCCAACTGCTTGTCTCCAAGGAGAGTTCTACAGTATGACATTAAACTTGTCTATCTCCATGAGGACAAGCAGGCGACACAGACAGATCATGTTACAGGTAAGATCTGTGGAGAGGGGACCTGGCTCACAGTAAAATAGTATTTGGTATTCTTAGCAATAAAATCTGGTATTTTTAGGTAGAAAATTGTCCTACATATAACTATCCTTACGTATAAACAGACCACACATTGAACTGAAATTAGTCGTAGCACTAATAGACAAACATCAGTTTACAATGTTTGATGTAAGATTATGGCAGGATTTATAGTACTGTTAAGCTTGGTCCCTTCAAAACCACAAGGGCTACCCATCATCTTGAGGCAGCCTCCTAATGGGCTAGTATGATTGATGTGGAAAAACTAAGTTGACATCTGAGAAAAACACAAAATGCAAATGCTGTATCCAGAATGAAGCCATGGAATGCTAGGTTCTTTTCATTTCACAGGAGTACTAACCTGTATATACAGCTCCAACATGACATTTAACTGGTAATTTTATTGCTTTGCTTGGATTGTTCCACAGTACGGCATTAAACAAATATATCTTGTATTTATTAAATTACAGGTGCTTTTATTTCTCAAAACTACAGCAAAAGCATGCATTATTACAGGGGTGGGCAATTTTTTTTTCCATGGCTCACTGATTTAAATACTACATAATGTCAAAGTACATAATATTTTACTCTCTGTGCAAACTAAACATCACTAAAATATTTGCTCAGTCCAATAAATGTGAGAGAATATGTTTAAAAGGAAAAAAATCCACTCATTTTATTTCAACAAAAAGATAAAAAACTCATGCATACCTACAAAGGTTTAATGAAAGGTGTAGCTCCATGCCTTATCTTAGCAATATATTTAACTTTAACAGACTTTTATTATAAGCATGTCCATAGTAAATGGTTTTTAAATTATTAACCCACACTACATTACATCTACATATTTTACATATGAAAAAGCATATTTCATGAAATATCGGACAAGTTGTAGGGCACATTCAGGTGTACTGCATTCAAGAAGATACTAGCTGCCTGATTTTGTGTAATCCTAGGTATAATTAACAATACAATTAAACAACAATATGCGATTTATCTATTGCCATAATAATATTGTGACTCAACTGATAGGTCTAATATACCTTCATACAGTGTAATTCAACTTTTCCGGTGGAGGGTCCATCGTTTGTTTTACTCCATAACTGCTTTGATTTGAATGTAGTTAGTTTGGTATTAAACATATATTTAGTTTAATTTTATTCATTTAATGAGACAGGAACAGTGCACAGTATACATTAACCTTAGCAGCAGATATGAGTTATACCAGGTTGTAGCACCACAATGCTAATTTCCAGCCTGTAGTCCCTGGGCAGGATGATTTTATACTTCAGAAAATTAAATATATCTTTACAATGACCACAATGGATGTATATCCATAAAGACAAGCAAGTAATTCCAGTGACTAGACCAAACCACAGGTCAGATCTGTGGTATCTGTGATAAGAATATATGTTTTTCAAAGTATTTCTATCAAACACCTGTAATTGAATAAACACAAGAATGACAAGTTTAATACTGTGAAAAATTCCAGAAAGCAATAACATCTCCAAGGAAACAAGCAGTCGCAGACGCTCTGCCTGAAAAGTTACATAGTGCGCCTTTAAACAAGTCACACATTAAATTATTTCTATTGTGATTATTCTCCATCCACATCACTTACATTAATAGTTGATAAAGAAACAGAAGGCTGTATCCAACACAAATATATGCCATTGTTCTTCACTTAGACTCTGACACGTGACCTGTTACCTCTCCTACTGTACCCTTACGATGAGGTGCAGGCTTAATCCCAACTCTATATGCAGCAGACAAGCAGCTTTCTATCTCCCCCTCTACACTAGCGCATTATTTACCCTCCTCTGTCTACCTAATTTGATCCTTTCTGCTCAGTATTCTCCGTCTTAATGCAATATCCTACCACCCAGATCGTCCTATACTCTCCCATTCCTCTGCTCATCTCTCATTCATTCTCTTATGGAAATTGAGATTGATTTGGGTGTAAAAGTTTTCGCCTGAGTCAGCCCATCCTCCCCGCACACAAACCCACACTCAATGAGATGCACTTTTTACATTCTTCCTGGAGCCAACTGCGAAATAACTCCACAATAAGATAAGTCTTTTGTCCAGATGTGCTTTAGCACCTGGGTACAGTCCATACACAAGCAATTTAGACTCTCTTGGCCTTCAAATGCTAACTTAGTGGCTTCGCAGAGGGTAACAGATGTGTGTTTGTTTAGATATTACAACCGCTTCCTACTTTCGGCAAATAAATGTGACATCCTGTTAATTATAATCTTAAACATTTAATTAATCATGCATACATGATACAGAATTATTGTTGTCCATAATATCTTGTTTAAAGAACCCATATTGCTATATTTTCTGATCTCACTTTTCTTTTATTCACACCCGTTTTTACACACAAATCCTTCATATTCAGAGTTATTCTCTCAAACAGAAAACACTCTGTTCCACCTTGTGTTGTCATGTGGCAATACAAGAAGTGCTCCACTGCATTTTTAAAATACATATAGTTTCACTAGAATCATTTGGATGATTTCAGCCCGGTCTCTACTGAACTAGGTAAAAGGTAGTTAACTTAAAAACTATTGCTTTATGACACAGGGTGGGACAGAGCATTTTGAGCTTTGAAAATGTAGACAGGCTAACAAAAACTCTAGGTATGTTTTTGGTGAGGTAACGATATAATAACAT